AAGTAAATGTATAATAAAGACCTGTCTTTCCCCATTGTATTTGTTATGAATATTTTTATTTCAAGCAGTCAAACTACGCATAACACTGTTAGAACTACTGTCACGTTGCTTCTGTCCCACGTTGGATGGAGGTTGATAATGGCCGGAGCCAAACACCTTAGTCTACCCTAGTCTTAATAATAATAGTAATCTTTAATGAAGATGCCAACGTCACGAAGTGATTACAGAAGGGTCCTCAGAAAAATACTAAGTTTAGATTAAGAACTAGTTAAACATACAAAAATGTAAAAGATTAAAAGAGTATATACAATAATCAAGCATCAAAAATAACTAGTTAAAAATACAGGAATGTAAAAGATAAAAAGAATATACAAAGGGTAAATAGCAAAGGATGTCGTTAAGAATCAAAGATAACTTTTGACAGGCCACGTTTAAAAGCAGGCAGTGATTCTGTATTCCTAAATGAGGTGTCTAACCCGTTCCACGTATCAGTACTAAAATTTACTGACGACCAATGACCCCATCTTCTTGTGGCACTGGATTTGCGAATGTCATTTCTCAATCTTGTGTAGTAACTATGAAAATCACCATTGAATGTGACAGGGATCGAGTGACAGAAATGGTTGTTAATCAATTTATACATAAAAATAGCATGATGTTCCTTTCTACGTCGCAATAATGGCTTCCAGCCAAGTCTCTTTATCGCCTCAGCTGCAGGAAAATGCGCAGGAAGAACTAAAGTGAGGCGAGCGGCCTTATTCTGTAACACTTTTAGCTCAGACATCAGGGAGACATTTCCGTGATCTCCCCATATGATATCCCCATAGTCAAAAAGAGGTAAAATGAAACTATTAAAAAACAATTCTAGCATCGAGGGGGAGGCAAGATTTAATACGCCTTAAGAGACTTGACTTTTTACTGATCTTACCACGAATATAATCAACGTGGTCAGTCCAGGAAAGCCGGTTATTAATCACAATACCCAAGTACGTTTAAGAATCTACATTATCGAGGGGGATATCATCAGCAGAAATAAGGATGGACCCAACTTTGCTTAAACGGGAACTACTACCAATAAGTAAAAACTTGGATTTCTTAACATTCAGAGTAAGTTGGTTAGCCCATTAATCTTGCTTTGTAAGTCCACAGTAGATTAGGAGGCGAGATAAAGAACACTGTTATCTGCATTTAAAGTGACCTGACAGAACTGCAAAACTTCAGGTGGATCATTCATTTAACAATTGGTTCATACGTCAGCGTGCGTTCATTGAGATATGAAGCACGCGGGAAGTTTGGAGAGCACGAAAGATGCGTAATATAGAGCCTTGAGCAACGCCAATCGAAACAGGGGCAACTTTGGAGCATACATCGTTACAGCTGGTCACTTGTTTTCTGTTCGTTAACAATAAAGCGTTAACAATGAAGTAAACCAGGCTTTGGCAGCATCATCAACACCATAATTTGAGAGCTTCTGAAGCAGTATTGTGTGATTGACAGTGTCAGACGCTTTGGCGAGGTCTAAGAATACAGCACCGGTCAGGCCACCATTGTCCATCGAGTGAAGGATCTGATCAGAAAGCTGAGAGGCGGAAGTAACAGTAGATGACTTCAATCTAAATCCAAACTGGTTGGGTGAAATAAAATTATTCTCAGTTAGATATGCATAAAACTGAGTATGAACTGTCTTCTCTAAGATCTTGCTTATAGTCGGCAGAATGGAAATTGGCCTGTAATTAGAAGCGTTCTGTTTATCACCCTTTTTAAACAAGGGTATAACCTTTGCTATTTTCCATACAGAAGGAAAAGTTATTGTTTGAAGGGATAAATTAAAAAAGGCCGTTAAAGAAGGAGTAATAACGTCCACAGCATCTTTTAGAAGACGCGCGCTAATTTTGTCGAGACCAACGGCCTTATTAGTTTTCAATAAACTGATGGATCTTGAAACAAAATCTTCACTAATCGGTTGTAACGTAAAGGTAGAATGGCAGACTATAGCCTTAGCTGTGTACGGCTCAGGAACGATCTTTTCCACAAGAAATTTTCCCACGTTCACGAAGTATGTATTAAAAGTCGAGGCAATAGATTGAGCTGAGGTGAGAAGGGCGCCATCAGCTAACAGATTGGTAATTCTGGAGGACGTTTTAGACGATGGTAGAGTTTGTTTGAAAGCTCTCCAGAAGTCTTTAGCGCTTGATTTGCTACTGTCAATTATTAGGTTAGTGTAATAATCGGATTTGGCTTTCTTGATGCTATGGGAGACTTTGTTCCTCAGATCACGGTATAGACGCCAATGAATACTGCTTTTATTTCCCTTTGCTTTCTTCAGGTGGTTATTGCACTTATTCATAAGATCTGTAACGTGAGAGTTCAACCAAGGAATAGAAAAGCCTCTGACCCGGCTTGTTCTTATTGGAGCATGGGATTCGGCAACCTCTGAGAATAGTTTACTTCAGGTGTCAGTGCAGTCTTCGATATCTTCATGGTTGTTTACAGTCACATGCTTTACAGTCAGGTACTTGGCGGAGTTCAGACACAAAGGGATCTCTATTGTAGTTTTTATACGAGCGAAATTGGATCGTTTTTGGTGGAGCTCGATAACGACCGCTCTTCATTACGCAGTAAACCAAAGAATGATCGCTCAATCCAGGATCTATAACGTCGGACTCGGTAATTTTTTTGGTAAAGCACAAGTCGATAAGAAATTCAGAGTGTTCCGTGACGAATGTTGGAGATTCAATCACTTGCTTGAGATCGTGAAGCTCAGTAATTTCCTTGAGCAATCGTTTCTGAGACGAATTTGCATTTCTCCTTCCAACTGAAAAATCAATGTTAAAGTCACCAGGCACGACCTTGTCAAAGCCAGAGTCAATCTTAGACAGTGACTCACTGAAGTTATCAATAAAATTGTCTATAGGTTGATCTGGTGGTCTGTAGATACAACCAACAACAAGAGGTGTACAGTTTTTTCGGTTCACTTGAATCCAAACAGCTTCATTTGCATTATTTAGATCTTCGCGAACAGCAAAATTTACAGAATCGCGACAATAAATTGCCACTCCTCCATCAGCCTTTCTTTGGCGATCCCGCCTCACACAGTTATAGCCAGGCATAAGAATCTCGTCATCAGTCACCATATCATTTAGCCAAGTCTCCGAGAATGATAATATGTCAAACGACTTTGCACCGCCCATGACGAGGTTCACCTGATCCATCTTGTGTAGTAGACTACGAATATTAAGATGAGCTAGAGGTAACCCTCTACTTTTGGGGCAAAACGATAACCCAGAATTGTTTAATTGAAATGTAGGACCAGGTTTGGGACAGATATCACCAGCTAATAGTATAAGACCAGCAGCGCACAGGCTAAGCTGTGTAATGTTCCGGATTCTGTAGGCCTTGAGCGAGGGAACAGTAGTAACCGAGACAACATAACGCGATCTTCTCAAACAATCATTACGGCCCGGGTAAAACTTATTTTTCTTCGATTGCTTTGTCACCTATTACTTCACAAAACGGTATTGCAATCGTGGAATACACTCTCAAACAACTTCATTGTGGAAATATGATTTTCGATGCATGATTGACGCCTGATTGCCTCCAGAGCAAAAATTCCAGAAAAAGCTTTAGTGCAAATGATCGTTGCAAAATCAACCATACAGTCGGTACTCTTGATGCTATTATATTCTTATATTGCCAAAAACGCTACTAAAACCCGTATTGATAGATAGCGAGAAATTCAAGTAATTGTGGATCTCAGTATTTGTCGATTTCTACCGGAAAGGGTTGGCTTAAATTTCAGGACCGTATTTTATCAAAAATAAGACGAATTGTGGAAAAAATAAATATACTCTTATCATCCAGGATTGTAGGATTGCTAGTTGGAGAGAGGCTGAGAATATTCGCAGTTGAAGAAATTCTTCTACCGATCTCAATATGTTTACTGCAAGCTTTTGATGAGAGCACACGAAATCTTCATTTGAAGGGTATCATGCATCTTGACGATATGAAAATGTTAATCCTCCTGTCTCACCCACAAAGAAACGCTTCGTAATCAGTAAGGAGAAGAACTAATTGGATCTTGGAGTAAAAGGGTTTTACACTCGCATTAACTCAAGAGTTAAGTCAAGAATACAAACATGTATTTTCCATGCTGCATCTGATTAATTATTAAGGGAGCTCTAGTCATATATAGGCATGGAGGAGTAAAACCTTAATTCTCCTACATTAAGTTCAACGCCTAACTGCAGAATTGTTCTTATCACTTCTGTTGCATTATTCCTTTTCTTTAGCTCGAGCAAGAGGTAGGGAGAGAGGCTATGTATCCCTCACTGCCTGCGAGAGTATCTCACACGTCAGTGAAACGCCAGCGAGAGCCTGGAACCAAGGTTGAAGGCTGTCGTGTATGTTCAAACTTCCTGGAACTACGGTAAATTCCACGGAAAAAGAGAGAAAAGAAGACGTTCTACGATATTTTCAACCGTGTAATATTCTTCAGAGGTACTGTTCACGAAAAAGACTTTTAACCTCGTTAGATCCACTGACAGCTCTCAGATCTAGGAACCTCATCTCAGTTGTACGGAAACATGCATGGCTTTATCAGATGCAGTTAGCGATACAACAATGACTAATAACTATGGCTACAATGGAAAAATCTATTAAATATTAACAACTCCACATTTATTTTATTCTGCGACTGACGAAAAGAACTTGCACTGAAGAAAACAAATTCTCCAGCAGAGGGGCTCTCCGGTCTCGTTGAATCGCTTGTAGAAGGGATAACTGTATTTCAAGTAGGTAATTTCATTTCAAACCTTTTAGTTTCATTGGTTTTGCCACAATTGGCGTTTCCCCATATTCAGAATTACTTAAAACTAACTTTCGGTTTGGGAATTTCAAAATTCACCTGCCATACTTCGCTTCTAGTTTGACACCAAATAGAAGCCCTATTTCTATTGGTTAATGAAAACCCTAAGCCAATCAGAAATTACTATCCATTGCAGGAATAAGTTTCGCAATAGTTCATAAGATGCATACAGTGGTGGACCTTATGGCCGAAAAAAAAGGCGAAGAAGTTCGAAAAAGGAACAAAGAAATACCCTCATGGGCACCTGGAGGAGCTGATTACGATCCAAACCTTCCTTATGGACCTAAAGTTTACGTGGCAAGACGAAAAAAACCGGATCCGTGGTGGGTAACAGCTATTGAGGTACGAAACAATTAACGAGTTCCTTCTGTGATATTTATATTACTACAAAAAATTATTATTTTCATGTCTTAACTCGAGAATGGCAAGTTCTTGGTTTCCTTCTTTTCAAGAGTATTTTATGCTTTTGATATCGTGTTCTTTCGTAATTTTTGCAGCATTCAGTTGTCTTGTTCGTACCTACTACGTTTATAAAAGTGCTTGTTTACACTGAAGATCGTGAATCAATTAAGGAGCTTATTGTTTTCAGTTTTCATTAACAGTAGTGCTTCTGGTATCGCTAATCGTGGAAGTGTTAGGCTACAGGTAAAGGAGATAAGGCAATACTATTAATGTGCTGGTACTGTTGTTTTTTTAGGTTACAGTGGTAGTTGGTGTTCTGCTCTTCTTTGTGTACATGTATTATTATATGGATCATCTGCATTTTCATGTGCTGAACGCCTATGCCAACGTTGGAGTCTCACACGCACAGCATCATGTAGCACACAAATACCTCAATGGTAAGACACGGCTTTGAAAACTTCTATTCCTTCGAGTATAATCAATTTTTGGAATTTTTAGACACTCAGACATTAGGTATTTAAAATTTCGAAATGTTCATCTTAGATAAATTTTCTAGATTTAAGGATGAAATAAATATTCTCAGGACTAACCAACAACTAATGTATTATCACCAGTTAAGAGAATCAGCTGGTAGTTCTCAGATTTCAAAGGTTATCAGCAATTGTAATCCATCAAATTTTTCTGCTTGTGCATGAGAAGTATAAATGCATCAATTAACCAAATACTTTCCTTAAAACTGGGGAATTTGTGAATGATAGCCTTCATTTAGTACAAATATATGCCTGGATATTTGTCTGTGGACATTATCTGTTCAGAGAAGCAAACAATGTACCAGTAGTGAGCTCAAAACAAAAGAGCTCACTTTTAGATTGAGTATCATTTTAAGAAAAACCAAAATAATCATAATGGCTGATCAAAATAAAGGAAAATACCCCTTAAAGCCAATGGTTGAGAGAAGAGCATGAATTTTCTGGACTAATTATGGAGAAAGGTGAAGCAAAGCCAAAGCAATCCCAGATTACTGTTGGCATTCCATTGAAAGCTATGCTATACCACTATTCTATTTAACTGATTGCTACTTAAAAACCTAATTTTGTTTTATAGTATTATACCATTTACTTTGCTGTTCTTTTCAGGGCGTGGAGTATCAAAGGATGAAAAGATGGCCTTTTACTGGTTCAGGTTAGAGTGAATTATATGCATGGAGTATAATTTTCTCATTAGACATTTTGGTGTTTAGTATTGCAGAGTATTTTTTCACTCAATTTGCACATTATTTGTACTCTCTCAACCAAGTAAATGACAGTTTGCTTGAACATGGAACAAAACCAAAAATAGAGTGATTCAGCCTATCAAGTTTGCATAAATACCAATCAGGTGCCAATTAGAAAACCTGGTAAAACTAGTTAAGAGAAGGTCTGATGTAAGAATTATGTGTGATGAAGTCTCAATTAGTTCTACTAGTCCCCTAAAAAGACTGCCAGAGTAATCTAAGTAAAGCAAAACCAATTCAAATCCAGGCTCATTTGTGGATGAAATTGAAAATGGCTCCTCTTTCCACAGGTGTTTGACCATAACCTGAAACATTCTTTTCTTGAAAGAGAAAAATTCTGTTTATAGTGTCAGATTAAAATTTGCCTGTTGTAGCATGAAATATAATGTGGTGGAAAAATATTTGTACATTCATTAAGAAATATTATTTTTTGAATTCCTTGTAAAGTATTGAAGTGTTTCAGTCAGTCATATTCAAGTAGTGGAAAAGGATGGGAGGGCAGGGGGGGTGGGTTGGAAGCTGAGAAGAAAAGGGACTGATGGAACAAGATAGATTGGGACGCAAGGAAGATATGCAAAAATGCAAACATTCTTGGTAATAAAGATTCAGTAATCTTCAGTGTTTGAAAACAACGAATAGAAAGTCAAATGTGTGGGAGAGGGAGGAACATGGTGCAGAAGAGAGCTAATGTTGCCACCCCCCTCCCCACCCCCCTTTCCTCCCTCCCCCTCCCTCTTAAAATAATTAATTGTCAATTTAAAGGTATTATACTGTGGATTTTTGGTGGAAGATAATAAATCATTAGGTCTACCCTCATATGAATGTTAATTTCTTTAGGTAATTATTTTATATTGTAGAGAAGCTGCAAAGAACGGACATGGCCATGGAGCTTACAATCTGGTGGCTGGACACTTACAAGGATATGATACAGATGTAGAAGAACAGTAAGAAGGACACTGTTTCTTCGAAACTATTGGGAAAATATATATCATTGAGTAACTCTGTGCTTGAAAGATAAACTAGCAATGTTAAGCTCAAGCACCTCGGTCTTTCAGATTATTGCTGCAAATCTTAGAATAGTATCTTTCTACACTGTGTTGAACATTGTAGTCCTAGTATTGCAATACAAACTGTCTAAAACACAAAGTGTCTAAAATGGTGTGAAACAATTATTTCTGCCTCAAAAGTACTTAATGAGCTTTTTTCTTGTGGTTTTCAGTGAGGTGGAACCCCTTCTTAAAATGGCAGCAGATAATGGTGTAGAGGAAGCCAAAAAAGCTCTCAAGGACTTGTATCCACATAGATACACATGACCCATTAAACTGGTTAGTTAATTATTTAGAGCTTATTGCTATTTTTGTTTTCTAGCATTCTTATAGTCCTCTCTGAAAAGGTGACTTTGTGATAGTTGGGAAATTATTTTTCAGAGTACTTTGACTCCACAACCTGCAAGGAGAAATGCAGGATGGGGGGGACTCCAGTATGTTTTTAGTGGGGAAATGCTCAGTGACTCCCCAAATCTGGCCCTTCTTGGTTGGGGCGGGGAGGGGGGAAGAGAAATCCATTTGACTTCCAAGAGTCAAATGATCGACTAATTAATTGATATTAAGTGAAAACTTTATCCTTGATTAATTTAGCTTTTACAGTGCTTTTTTTTTTGTAGCATCATTCAGCCTCTGAAACATGGGTTTTGTTTCATTTTATTCTTCAGACTCTCGGTTTGGTTTCATGATGCCTTTCTTACACCTTGAAGAGTATGTTATACTGTATTTGATCTCTTGTTTAAAGGGTTATTCAGTAAATTTTGTTTGTTCAATTGCAAGTTTTGTTGGTGTGAAATGCATGTCAAGAAATAGAAGTTGAGAAACCAGATGTACCTCTCCCCCTCCTCTCCCTCAAATGAGTTTTTTTTCTTGCCAGCAATTCTTCTAAGACTATCCATTGTACATGTTACATAGTGTATCACCAACTTAGAAAAAGGAATTAAGCAGTTCATATTGTTTTGGTTAGGTGTATTTACAGAACTGATTTGTTACAAAGATGAATGTGTTTGTCACAGACAAACAGCCAAATTCCTGTGCAGCTATGTTGAAATGGTTTATGATTTTTGGTTATCACTCAAAAGCCACTTGCCTTTTTGTATTGTCTTTATAAGTCACTAATTATGTAATTTAAAGACTTGGCTAAATTATAAAAAGGACAGGTTCAGAAATTTTTGCCGGTATCATTAAACTTTCAGCCAGAATGATATTTATTTAATGGAACAACTTATTCTTTATTAAAGAACGATACTGATCAATTATCACTTCTAATCAGCACTCATTAGGGATACAGTCTTTTTCACTCACAAGTGAAAATTGTTTCAATATTTACCACGTCTTTCTTGTAAAGTTAACAATTGGTTCATATGTCAGCGTACATTCATTGAGATATGAAGCACGCTGTTTGGAGAGCACGAAAGATGTGTAAGAGTTGCTTGAGTGCTCTCCAAACTTCCTAGGTGCTTTATGAACACACAGCTGACATATGAGCCAATTGTTTTATAACATTTTCAACCCAATGGAAAATTTTTTGTCACAGGGAATTTGTTTGCTGATGTCATGAGCTCGCACTATAGGAATATGAAGCATGCTCACACAATTGAATTTGATTAGACAAATTTACTAGCTGTTATAATGACAGTTGTTTCACTGCCTGTGATATATTATTGGTTGTATACATTTATTTATCATTGATTTTAGTGAACACAGAATTAATATATTCATTTGAGAATTAGTAATATAGTTTAAAAAGTTCATTGGACTTAGTGAATAAAAATTAACCAAGGGAATTTAAAAGCTGCTGGAATGGCTCTAAACATACAAAATGGAGGAGTCTTCTTCAGTCTGAGAATGTTAACAGAATGGCAGCCATTTTATAGACAGTATCAACAACTGTTTGTTGTTAAAAGTTAGTTTAGTTGCTGCTTTTGATGGTCAACCAAATGGACCTTAATTTATGGAAACTGTTTGTGTTGTTAGTCCTCCTTATATAAACAAGATTTAGACCAAGTGGTTGGTTTATTGCTGACCACCCACTAGCCACTAAGAGGGCATCATATCAATTTTGTACATGTGGAGTTAACAAATAAATTATCAAAGGTTGCTGTGTTGTTTATATCTCTCTGTCACAGAGCATAATGAAATTGAATGTGGACAAATATAAGCAGGATAACTCTCAAAGCTTTAAAAAATAAGTCAAAATGTACTTAAACCCTGGGCTGCAGAATCTCTTCCTTAGACTCTAGTGTTAAGTCATGGTTGAGGCATTGTGTTCTATTTTCTTTAAAAGTATGAATGCTTATTGGCAAACTGTTTGGGAAACTGATAAAATTCTAATAAGAGTACCAGCAGCACTTTGTACCACAGAAACCTGAAGCAAGCTTTGATAGTGATGAAATGCAAGAGGAAGGTTCCAATTACAACTGTCTGAGGTGGGTTAATCATAGCTACCCTAGCATTTGAGACACAAAGCAGTATA